GCGAATCGGGCGGAGAATGAAAGCGAGGAGGCGAGTGAGAAGAACGACGAGACAAATCTGGAGGATTGCGAGAGGGAGGGCGAAATCGAGGGGGTTATCGCCTTGAAACACGCCGTTGGAAGTGGCCTTCATCGGCGCCGGACAAGCACCGATCACCGTCGCATTTGTCGCCACCGTTGCCATTGGTGTATTGGGATCAAATCTCTGTGTGTGAAAAAAATCGCAATACAAGCTTTGTAATCTCTAATCTTCCTAATCTGTGTCTCTGTCTGTGAAACTTTTTCGCCAAATTCACCGATTTTAATGGCTTGAGAGTGGTTTATAAGTGGTTAAATTTCTTGTTCCGCTAGCTGCTACGAATCCTAACCAGAGAAAGAGAGAGAAGCACAACAGCGTTTGTATTTTTTTCTTTCTTTTTTAATCTTTTTTATCTTTTTTTCCCCAACCAACATAAAGCAGTAATTACTTGCTTATCCATTGCCGTTTCAAATTTTTTCCTTATCGCTGGAAATTAGTGCTTTATAATTAACCTAAGTAGTTTATTCAACCTTATAAATATGCCCTTATCTAATTATCTAAACAATTCAAATTGTATTAGGAGTATGACTCCTACTCGTCTAAGATAATGTATTAATCTTAGGTTTTATCCCGTAAATAAAAGGAAAAGACTCGTAACTAAAGGACACTACAAAATTTTAGTTTTTGCTTTATTTCATATAAATGCAATTCTGAGTGGCTGTGACTAGCACATTAATATTTATATTTTATAGTTTCGATACATCATTATTAACATATAGCGGTGTAATTTTGATAATGGTCAAATTTGTGCATTAACAACTACTTCAAACTGTCCTAACAATGTTGTACTAAAAAAAACTGTCCTAACAAATTTTTAACCTTTCAATCGAGATATTAAAAATCTATTCCAGTCGAGATATTAAACATCAATATCTCCACATGTCCCTAGCTTCGACATCAATGACATTTCCATTATATTGCAAAAAATCAAATATTTAAAAATCAACAAATTTGAATTAATATGGACATAATATTAATGATAAGAATTTTTAACCTATTTAAAAAGGTGAAAAGTTTATTTGTGAATTTAAATATTTTATATGATTTGTTTTTCAGAAATATCATTGAAACAAATATTTCCATCGACATATAAAAGAAATTTAGGCCTCAACATTTTTGCCATCGTGAATATTAAAACTTTGCTCTCAATTTGTATTTATTGTATTTTTAAACATTTAATTTTGTCTCTTTATATATTTTTTATATAATTAAGGAATTTTTATCGAATTGGTAATTTCATTTTTATTTAATTAAAAGTTATTTTTTTATCCAATAAACTTTTTTTAAAAAACGTTATCGAAAAGTTGTGCTCTTTGTATCTTAGAATTTATATGCATCATTCAAATTTCGAAAAACTAGAATAATAATGTACCCATAAAGATATTAAAATATTTGCCAGAATATTTTTTTAGACAATACTTTTATTTGGTCTGGAATAATATAAAAAGTACACTGATAAATATTATATGTTAGTTAAGTATTCATATTCCTTATGCAATTAAACTTATCAAATGAATAACATTTTTTATTTTTATTGATTTTCATTATTTTTGTTCCTAATAGGTAATGAAACCTTTTTTTTTTCTTTTTGGCAATCCAGGTAATGAAACCTTGATATAGAATGATACAACTTATAAAAATTAATTTTCCTTTCATTATCGCGTCAAAATTGGAAATAAGGAGAGTATTGAAAATTTTACATTAATGAACTTTTGTAATTAAGAAATCTAAAATTTAGAGATAACTAATTCAAATATAGTTCTAAATATCCGTCGACACGTCGATATTTTCATCGACATATCCATGGTTCCATGGGTTCGACATCGACATGAGAGATAAATTTATATTTCCTATCATAATACAAGAAAATCCACAAAATATGAAAAATATCAACAAAATATCATTAATAATAAATTAATATTAATTATTTTTAACTAATTTAGAAATAGAAAAATGTTTATTTGTTAATTTAAATAATTTTTCTAATTTTTATAGAAATATCCGTCGACATAGATGATATTTTCATGAAATTGAGATCTCGACATTTACATTGACGTCGACATTTAAATCCTTGATTCAAACATAAAATGCATATATTCTTTTTCTTTCTTTTAATAAGTAAAATGCATATGTTATTCATTACATTGATGTCAAAACCAGCCAAGCTTAATAATAATTGGCATATATATACTAAAAAAAGAAGTTGAATTAGTTATCTTAATTTTTTATTTTCTTCTTTATCTTAATTAGTATATATAGAATTTCAATCAGAAAAAGAAAAAAGAAAAACGTTAAAGTTAAGTTTTCAATTTAAAAAAAAATATATGCCACTTTTTAAAAGAAAATAATTCATTTATCGAGGTTATGTTTGAAAATCAAATTAAAATATGGATTTTTTTTCTTTGCATACTGAATTACATAAATTTAGTTCTTAAAATTTATTTTTAATGTGGTTGAATCTACCTAGTCTATGAATTTTTAAAAGTTACGATTTTATCTTTTGAAATTTTAGTTATAATTAATTCTAACAAGTCCAGGCTATTAATACGAGTATTTTAAATATTGACAGAATACAAAATTACAATTATATATATTCAGATTAGCAGCAACTTAATTGCCAGCATAATTAAGGTCAAAGTTCAAATCTCCAACCTCAATTTTGTTGCAGTAAAAAAGAAAAAATTGCAACCTAACTAATAAGATGATTGATATTAAAATTCCTAATCATAGGTTTATGGTCAATCAAACGTCATTAATAAGGAAGTATCCTAACCGACATTAATTAATAAAAATATATATTTGACTCCAACATTAAATTTGTATAATTCAAAATTAGTTAAGAAGTTGTAAACCTATATCTCAGATGTGAGTATCCTTAGGTTATATAAATTCAAGGGGATGAAATTCCTCTTTTATATTATAAACTGTAAATTTACAAACTAAACCAAGGTTTTAAATGTCGATGTCAGATGAAAATGTGGAGATTTCAATTCCATGGAAATATCGATAAAATGTCGATGTCGATGAATATTTTTGTAAAAATTAGAAAAATTAGAAAACCATAAAAAAAAATATTTAAATTAACAAATAAACATTTTCCTATTTCTAAATTAGTTAAAAATAATTAATATTAATATTATGTATATATTAATGACATTTTGTTAATAATTTTCATATTTTGTCAATATTCTTGTACTATGATGGAAATGTCTATATCGATGTCAAATCCATAGAAACATGGATATGTCGATGAAAATATCGACGTGCTTACGGATGAACTAAACATAATATTACACAAATCTATTTTTTCTTTCAACTTATTAATTTGCAAAATCTAAACGCAAAACTCACCTTATAAGGAAACTTATTAAAATCTCCCTGATTCATATAAGAAAATTATTTATCATAATCCTTTTGATGAGTCATTTCTTACAATTACAAGTTACAAGATGATTCACCTTAGAGACAAACCCAATACAGATGTTCTTTTTCCAATTAGAATTAGAATTCCATTTTTGTGTTAATCGAGACGTTAGTAATTTGTTTCATATACCATCAATGCTTTGAATTTGGTTGGCCACACCAAATATTCAAGTTTGTTCTAAAGTTTATTTGCAACTTTCAAACATTTTGGAGGTTTTCATGTTTAAGTCTTTTGCTTGCAACCTTTGAAATTCTCATTTCACTATAAATGGTTTATTTTGTAATAAAAGCAATTTTATTTGAGCTTATGAGAGTTTCATAAGTCTATTTTAGGGTTTTTTATAATCGCAATTGCATGCGATTCCCTTTTGATCCATGTGGCTCTGTGGCTTTGCTAGAGCGCCACATCACTAGACTGCAACTTGGCCCCTGTCCTAATTTTATAAATCCGTTTTAAACTACTTTATTTATGTCATTTCTTTTAAAAAAATACATTATTTAAAAAATGTCCTATTTTTAGAGGTGATTTTGGAACTTTAATGTTTACTCTATAAAATTTATTGTTTGAATTGTAATATTTTTAAACGAGAATCTTTAAGAATGAGAGAGAATTTTGTATTTTGAGAAAATATATTCACCAACAATCTTTTTAAATTCTAACAAAAAAAAATGTATATGAGAATTTTTCATTACCAATAGCTAATAGTTAATAGTTGAGTGATTATATCTCTCTATGCTATTTTATGTAAAGAAGGAAAAAAAGAGGAAAAAATCCGCTTCAACATATCAATAGATTATTTTTTAAAAGTTTGCTTTTATTTTTGCAATTCTCTCTTAATTGTCAAATATTTAATAGTAGTTAGCATAAGTTACGTCATCACGGACCTAAGTATTTTCTCCGTTAATAATCAAGTTGTGTTGTTATGAAATATCATCTCTCACCACACCATACATAAAAATAATTGAAATTTAGTTGTCATCCTAAGTACTTAGAATTGAAGGTCACCGTCTTGTTTCACAAAGCACGACTTAATTAATTAATTGATCAAAGAAGTACTCTACCCACCTTTTTGTGTGGTTGCTTAATTTCTCCTTGTGCAAGCTCTATTAATTAACCACATAGAAAGTGTAAAATCGCCCCCTCTAACACAAGACCCAACATGTGGAAATCTATCAGTACCATGAACATAGTTTAACAATTAAGGTACATTGCTCGTTTCTTAGAGTTGGGAGGTTCACTTCTCATCTCCACATATGTTATACGCCTCCTCTGATGCCACATTAAATCATCAACCAACTTAAAAACTTGAAGCTGATGGATGGTAGTGATATGTTAGATTTACTTATTAAGTTGTTCTGGCAATATCATCGCTGTGGTGGTGGTGGAGGAAGAAGGCAATAATGGACCACGAAACTGTTGCACCACCAACACTGAAGCACCTATCGCTGACAACTCTGGAAGTGTCGTCAACAAGCTCCCCACCAGGCCTAGCTCCGGACATTCCATGCTCTTCACTACACGAACTGATTGAAGACTCTCCACCACCTGTCCTTCTGATGCCAAACCCACCACTATCAAATTACATCTGCCGAACTCTCTCATTACTTCAATTACATCGCTGCTTTTGCTCACCACTCTCTCTTCATACACTATCGACTCCTCAGTATCACCTGTTTTCTTCATCTTCAACTCCATCAATACCCTCTCATCTGCGGTCATTGAAACATCTTCGTCTTTGTTCAAGTCGATCCTAATAGACTCAGCACCCATGTCGAGGCTTGGAACGAAACGTATTACGTTTAGGGTTATTCCCGGATGTTGCGCCATTCTATGGCCATAAGCAAGAGCTTCACGATCGTCCCGCCCACCAAAGAAGAACACAGTTACGATTGACGAGACATTGCTAGCGCAAATGTGGGACCCACCTCCGAGCCCTCGGTCGACTAGGATCCCAACGGAGCATGGTGGTTGTTCTAGAACTTTTTGATTAACCCATCGAAAATCTGCTCTTCTTGTCTCTAAAGATCCATCAAACCTGTGCATTTCATTACTAACTACGTCAACAATAGTTAAGTGCTTATTCCTTACTAAAACAACACTTAAAATTGAAAAAAAAATACATATTTTTGCATTTTCCAATCTTCACTATTTAATGGTGGTGCTAATCTCAACGCCTAATTAATTTCCCTTTTAAAATATCTATTGAATGATATTCAATACAAATTTTGTAGCTTTTTAATTTTTGGAAAACAAAGAAGATATAGTCTTTTTCTACATATTTTAAACAACGACTATTGACAAAACAAAATTTTCTAGTAAGAATTAAGAAAGTAAAACGGACCTTTGATGTTTGTGGAAGGGAAGGATGATAATGGCGGCCCGCTTCCTCTCGGCGCTGTTGCAGACATCTTCATACATATCAGAAATCGAAGAAATCGCCGTCATCGGCCGTATCGACACCCGACTCAGCCGCCGGAAAGCCTCAAACGCCACCACAATCTGATCGGAATCCGATTTCCCTCCTTTATTCCAAAACGGCAGCCCATTCTTCCTCGCCCGGTGGACCATAGCAATCGCCGACGACCTCTCCGTCAGCTCCATCAAATGCATCGCGTAAACACACAGCCCCCGCCCCTTCCCCTCCGTTCCACGCGACGCCTCAATCAGATTCAGAATCGCCGGAATGTTATTCACCGAGTGGAAGCAAGCCAGAATCCTCAGCTCCGAATTCGCGTCCTCCCGTTCGATTTTCCGGTGGATGTACTCCGATTTGCTCTTCCTCGCCGCCGGTTTGTAAACCGCCATCACGACCGGCGTGGTGATGAACGTCGTTATGATCGCCATCAGAACCAGAATCGCGAATGTCTGATCGTTCAAGACTTTTCTGTCTTTCCCGATGTTGAGGACGATTAATTCGACTAACCCTTTGGTGTTCATTAGAAATCCCAGAGCCAATGATTCTTGGAGCGGCATTTTGCAAAACAGAGCAACGGAGACGGTGCCGATGATTTTCCCGGCGCAGGCGGTGCAAACGACGAGAACGAGGAGGCCCCACGATTGGGCTCCTTTAATGGTGGTGATGTTGGTTTTTAATCCGCTGGAAACGAAGTAGAGAGGGAGGAATAGACCGGAAACGAGGTCTTCGACTTTCTCGACCAGAGCTCCGGCGAGCGGGCCGTCTTTTGGGACGAGGACGCCGACGACGAAAGCTCCGAACAGGGCGTGGATTCCGATCAAATCCGTGACGAATCCGGCGGCTAAGACGGTGGTTAACGTCGCGCAGATGTACAATTCGGCGACTGGCTCGCCGTCGGAGCAGCGGCGGGACATCCAGCGAAAGACGGGAGGCAGAGCAAGGGCGGAAAACAGGACAAAAACAGAGCCGCAGAGGAAGACCCAGAGGGAGACGAGAGGGGAGCGGCCGGTGCCGGAGAGAGCGACGGCGAGGGCGAGGAGGATCCAGGCGGCGACGTCGTTGACGGCGGCGGCGGACATGGCGACGCGGCCGAGAGGGGTGGTGAGGAGCTTGAGCTCGGCCAAAATCCGGGCGAGGACGGGGAAGGCGGTGATGGAGAGGGCGACGCCGATGAAGACGATGAAGGGAGGGCCATGGACGCCATTGGAGATGGTGGAGCGGAGGACGAAGGAGGTGCCGATGCCGAGGACAAAAGGGAGGGTGATTCCGGCCATGGCTATGCCCAATGCGACCTTTCCGGTGCGGCGGAGGGATTTGGGATCTAATTCCAGGCCGACCAGAAATAGGAAGAAGAGAAGACCCAAATTGGCCAATGTGTCCAACACGGTGAGGCTTCTCGCCGGAAACACTGTATGTAGGAAATCCAGGCTCCGGCCGACGGCGGACGGCCCCAGCAATATTCCCCCCTGCCATCAGGAAGAAGAAACCACCAAAAAAGGAAAAAACTCAGAACACAGTTCAAAAGAAAGATGAACATTGATTAATTAGTGCAATAGTAGAGTAGGAGCTTTTATTCTTTAGCCAAATATTGTCCACTCCAAAATCTTTATGAACAACTTTAAAATCAACCACAAAAGAGAGAGAGAGATTATTTTTCTTCCATCTAAAAAATTTTAACCTAACATTTTTGATATATCGGAGAGGGACCTGACTAGTACGTACATAAATAAAAAAAAAATAGATGCTGATTGGTAAGCACTTAAATATTATTTATTTTAATAAGCACTTCTTCTTATAAATATATGTTTATTGAAAAATTGGCAAAAGACAATGTTAGGATGATCAATTTTATGTCATCATGAGTTATGACTCATTAGTCCAAGGAGACCAAAGTAAAACCTAAAAATTAACTTCCTATTTATTTCCTTACAACCAAATACACGAGGGTCATTTTTTCTTATGAAGTTCAAAATTCATGGTGAAAATTTATAAACTTAGCCAAATTAAAGATAAAAGTGACTTACAACAATCTCAGCAATAACTCGAGGCTGTCGAAGTGGACGAAGAAGCAAACCAAGAAGACGAGTGAGAATGACGACCAAACATATCTGAAGTATGGCCAAAGGAAGGGCAAAATCAAGCGGATTGTCACCCTGAAATACGCCGTTGGATGTCGCCTTCATCATCGCCGGACAACTACTCGCCGCGGTCGCATTCATCGCCATTTCTAAGAAAAAATGCACCATTTTGATTAAGCTTTCTTCTTTCAAACTAATAATAATAATAAATAAATAACTTCTTATGACTTCGTTAAATATTAAAATTAAATATACATATCATTTGACTCCTTGGGAATTAACATTGAGGACAAATATTTTCTCTTCTCCAAACGTTGTGGAACATTATTTTTTCGTTCGGGTAATATAAAATATTAATAACTCAAATTATTTTATTGAATGTAATGTGTTTTTGAATGGTCAAATAACGGCTATCATATTGATACTTCATTAAAATTTTCATAAATCGAAGAGTTTTACAAATTTATTAACATGGATTGCATTTGGATGAACTTAAATAAGGAATCTAAATCACCTATTTAGCAAACACAAGTCTACAAAGAAAAAACAATTAACAATAACTTGATTTGAGTGTAATCCAATTAACATTCATTTGAATTTATTAATGCTCTCAAATAAACAATCAACCACAATAATTTAGACAGATATTTTTAATCAAACAGCTCAAATAAATCATCTTGATTATAAGTGAAACCTTAAACAGATGTCTTCGTTGATAAATATAGAAAACAATAGAAATACTTACTTAGCCAAAAATAATCTCTTAATCGCCATATTAAACTTTTAGTTAAATAAGCTGATTTTCTGCCTCGAAGGAAATAATTACTTCAATTTTCAAAATACATAGAGTAGTAGTAATAATAATAATTAAATAACCATTTGAAGTCACACAAAACCAATAAAATAAAGCAAAAAGTAGTGAAATAATCACCTTGAATTTTTGTGGACAAAAGTTCTTGATTGGAAAATGAGATACAATTCTTATCTCCAAAAGAAAAATTCTTGAAGGATATGGAGAAAATGGGATGAAGCAATTTTGGCACTACCACCTCCCTTTTATATTCAAACCACACCTTCATGTGCCTTGTTGGACTAGGGTTTCTTTGGTAATTTTCAAATTCAAATATTCTTATAAGATAGCTACTTCTTCTTATAAATATTTTCCAAATCTTATCCATCCCAATTATGCAAATTATTGTGATAATTCACTATCTTATTAATATAATTAAAATATTTTATTGTCAACTCGAATCTCCGTATGTTGTACTGAAAGAAACAAAATTAAAATACTTTATCTATCTACTTCAAGATTGTGTGCTAAAGCAAGCATATCTCAGCGGTAATTATGTATTAAAAAAATATTTTGTGTGAATTTTTTTTAAAGTTTTTATACCATCCCTAAGTAAAATTTTGAAAACTAAAAAGAATAAAACAAAACAAAATAAAGTAGGGAATGCTTAGAGGGTGTTGCTTTTCAAAAAATAATTATCTGTTTTAGAGAACAAAAAAAAATCCAAAAACTTGTATGAGTCTATTTCTAAAAATTGTTTCTCCTTTAATTTGTTCTTGTAAGTGACTTAATATTCTCGTATTGTTCTTCATTTGAAAATCACAAAATATATATTTTTTTATTATACACAAATTATATTTTTGATAATTAGAAAACTCAAAAAATATATAAAATAAAAAATATTGATTTAATTTTAAAATAGTAAGATTCCTTGACGACTGTTATCTTCAAATTGAAATTATAATGTTGCATGATTAAACATAAAATATAAAATAATTTGCCCAAAACAATCACAAATTTTATAATGGAGCTCTTCACGTCTCATATATATAACAAATACATACATTTGACTATATATAAAAAAAAACGTTATATTTTAAATATTCTAACTTGTTTGCTCACTCTGTCTCGTTAGGCCAAATTTATAGTGGTTGGTAATTACTTTTAATTTATGTTTTCTCATAATTTTTTTCCTTAATAAGCCAAATTTTGTTTCAATTATAATTTTATTTTTTTCAATTAGTCAGAGATAGATACGTTAAAGAAGATGGGATAAGTTAGAGAGATAAATAAGATAACTGTTGGTTCTTTATTTTTAAAAAACATAAATAAAAAGCGTACACGTATAGTTTATATTATTTAAATATAGAAAACTAGAAAATAAAAAACTAAAAACTAAAATAATATTCTGAACTAGATCTTGAATAAATAAAGAAATAAAGATATGGTTTGTGAGTTATCTTATATTTTAAAAATAAAGTCTCAATGAGACGGGCATCACAAAACTTTTCAAGTTTTTTTTTTTTTGTCTATTTGATAAAGTTGTGGTTCTCGTTAAATTTTCTATTTTGGTAAAATTTTATTTTATGACATCATCTCATTAAACTTTTTATTTTGGCAAAAAGTTTATTTTATAAACATTATCTTTTGGTTAGTTTATTCCAAATCTAATTGGATTCTTGTCATCCTGTATTTTGAATTGACTTTTGAATTTTGACAATTTTGTTATTGTGATTTCATTTTAATTGTTTTGATATAATTATAAGGTGGAGGAGAGTGGTTGGTGGAAAAAAAAATGAAAGTGATATAAGAGAGAAGAGATTAGGGGAAATTAGATATAAAATAACGGTGGAAAAAGGAGAAATTTAGTATAAATAATGTTTTAGGGGATGACTTTAAGAACCATTTGAAAATTATCTCTAACTTGATTTTTTTTTAACAACCATATTACATTGTTTTAATTTATATCTTTTGCCCCGCAATTAAATTGGTCAATGTATATATATTTTATATATAAAAAGGAGGTTACAGATTCGAATCTTCCTACGGACTTATATTAAATAAAAATAAATTCTTTTAAATATATTTAGCATCTACATCTATTTAAAGTGGTTACGATTTGTGTGCCTTTT